TCAGCCGCCAAAGTGGTCTTCCAAAAGCCCAGGTGGTCTTCATCATATTACCTTCACTCCAGCTGTTATTATCACCTGTTTAGCTTTTAAAGCCCTTCATAACCTGCCCCCTCATCTTTCCAGTTTTATTACACCCTCTTGGCCCCTCCTCCACCTTTCCAGTCTCCTTACACAATCTCAGCTCCCCCACCAACTCTTGAGATCCAGTCAAAATCGTCTCTGTGATATTCCTCAGATTTCCAGACTCCAAGCATTTGCACAGGCTGTCCCCCAACCCTGGAATGCCCTCCCAACTCATCTCTACCTCTTGGTTGCTACCTAAAATCCCACCTCCTAGAGAAAGTTTTTCCCAATCCCCTTTAATTCTAGAGCCTTCCCTCTGCTGCTTATCTCCTACTAAGCCCATCTGTGAGTCATTCATTGTTCCTCTGACAAGACCGGGACCTGCTTGGAGACAGGGAATGTTTTTTGCCTTTCTTTGTGTCTTCAGACACAAAGGACAGGGCCTGGTACACAGTATGTACCTAATGTTAGTGTCAACTTGAAATAAAGAAGACTACCAAAGTAGCAACAAGGCAGCAAGGGAATTGTAATTCAGGAGACTATGCAACACTGAAGGACTGGAGTGTCCAGGAGGAGCACAAAGGGCAAGGTTTGGTGCCAGCTAGGTGGCAAAGTGGATAGAGCACCAGCCCTGGATTCAGGAGGACCTAAGTTCAAATCCGGCCTCAGACACATAACACTTACTAGCTGTGTGACCCTGGGCAAGTCACTTAACCCCATCGCCTAGCCAAAAAAAAAAAAAGGGCAGGGTTTAAATACACTCAGGGGAGGAGACCATAAACAAGGTGATAAATTAAAGGTAGAAATGCCAACAGAGGCAATTAGTGGGGGGTTGGGAGGAGCACACCAAAACTGTCGGGAGACAGGAATGGTTAAGAGAGCCTCTCTGGTAGATACTACACAGGTCCCTGTTAGGTTGACCAACTTGGTTAGATCAGGGGATAGGTGAATAATTTTCAGCCTAGGCCAGAAATGTTACAGGCACAGATCCAGTTGGAATTAATCCCCACCAAGGACACACTCTCCTGGAGGTCAGGGGTGAAGGGATGGCTCAAGTGGATCAGGACAGAAAGGGAACAAAAGAGGGTGACTAGGACCAGAAACCCAACCCAGCAAGCAAGACAGCGACAAACATAAACAGGAAGCAGAGTATTAACAACAGGGCCAGGCTCCACAGGCGGCAGGCACAAGGACATGTGCTGCAGGAGAGCCAATGGACAAGGCAACACAGGGGCCTGGAGAACAGGTGCAACAAAGTAACGGAGTAAACTGAGCAAACCAACCAACCCCAGACTGAAGGAGAAGTCACACAGCACAGGGTACTTGGTCTACCACTGCTGCTGTCTGCTGCTTTTTCTTGGTCAGACAGAGCTTGACATGGCCAGCAGTGGGCTCAGCTATCCATTCTGGGGTTGGGGCTCTCTTTCGATGCTGTGGCAGAGGGATTGCTCAGGAGCACTTGGTAGGGTCCTTTCCACCTGGGCTGCAAAGCGTCCTTGTGCAGGTATCCTCCAACAGACTCAGTCTCCAGCTTCCAGCTGTAAAACAGACTGGTCCAGGGCTGGGTCCCCAGAACATGACTTAGAAACAAGATGGTTAAGGTCCCAAGGGTTCTGAGTTGAGCCCCCTGCAGCAGAATAGGAGGGAAACCTTGGTGGTGAGGGAGTCTCCATGGAATGAAATGAAAGGCATCGGGTGCCAGTGACAATCTCAAAGGGGGGTCACCCTATGGTTCAGAAGAACCAGAGGAAGTGTTCCAGGGCAAGGCAAATTCTAATCATCTATAAATTTGGCCAGCTGAACCTTAATAATCCCACTGATACACTTCACACTCCACCTGAGCTGAGAATTGGGAGACGTAAGCACGGGTTAGGTGCTGAAGTACTGGCCGAGCATCCAGTAGCCGGGAGACAACTGAACCAGTGAACCTCTGTCACTATGGATTTCTTTGGGGATCCCCCAGGTAGGGAAAATTCTTTCTAGAAAACTCTTGGCTATGGCCATTGGAGTGGCTTGCCCTCAAGGAAGAGCCTCCACCCTCCAGGAAAATATACAGACCACGACCAATATAAACTTATATGATGTACAAAAGTTTGAGACACATAGTTTCTAGGTATTTAATCATTTTATTAATCTTACTAGCATACAATATAGAGTCAGTGACACTCTCCCACTCAACATTTATATGCCCTTGGAAGAGTGAGTGTTCCTGGGAATGGCCATCAACTCTGATTGGTTAACAAGTAATGAGAGAGAATGAATATTATGAGAGACTGACCTATTCCAATGATAAGGGTAGAGAGAACCATGACTTTGATCATATTTTTTACTTCCAAATCACCCCCAGCCTTGGGCAATCTAGACTAAGGATCTACCCCCCTGCCCAAATCTGTCCTTTATTCTCAGGTGCAAAGACAAGGATCACGGTGTTATAAGGGCTAGTACAGGGGACCAGCTTCTCTCTAGAAGGGATACTATAGGATACAAGGGAGAGAGGTTTAGAGGAATCCAGTTGAATCTGGATGGGGGGGGTGCTAAGGACTCTTCCAATATCAGAAGTACTAGCTGCCCAGAGTGAGTGGAACCTCCTCAAGGGGTAGAGAGGAACAAAGATAGGGGTGGTGAAAGTATGGAAAAAGTGGGAGGGGCACCTTCAGGAGGAAAGAGAGAGCTGAATATCAATTGGGGGAGAGAACTCAATTGTTGTCCTTTAACTCCTGAGAAAATCACAGCCTAGAAGGTGGAGGAAGTATCTAGAAAGAAGAAGGGATGGGTCCTACACAAATCCTTGAGGATAAAGGGCAGGGCACGGGAAACATAGATCGCCGATGGATCTCTACCATTGAAATCTTACTAGGGGCTGAGAAAAGCAGTAGGGTTTAGGACGATGTGGCACCACTATCAGGATCTCAATAGGATAAGAGGTCACCACAATGTTAGTGACCCCTCCTAGAGATGCAGGCACCACAAGAAAAACTCCCTCCATACCCTCAGAGCCCCAGTGGAGGAAGAGGAAGGCAGCCTCAGATGGCACTTTAGCTTGTAGAAGTTTTTCTTCAAATGGCCTGGGTTTTTGTTGTTTTTTAATACAATAAAAGCACACCTTGCCACCCTGTGGGCTTCGGACTTTGTATCTGATAGGGGCAGAGGAGGAAGGTCTCTAGCCTCTGCTGCAGCAGTTCTAGCTTCAGGTTTAAGATCTCATTCTTTTTCTTTTTCTCTTCTTCCTATATAGTTTGTTGGTACTTATGAGCTAAATAAATCAGACTAGAGGTAGGAATCACATACCAATCTAAATTGCCAGTCTTGATGAGGTAGGTAAGGGCCTTATTCAATCCCTCCATACAGTGACAGTTAAAGGTGATTAAGATAGTTGGAGTATCAGGAGAGAGGCCAGAATAAATTCAGGCTGACAACAGTCTGTCATAAAAATAAAAAAACTGACTCTCCTAGGTTTTTGGTGCAGCACTTAATTTTGCCCCAACTGATGCACTGAGGGAAAGCCTCAGGAGTTGTTTCTAACAAGGCTTTCCCAATTCTCTGTACTTCTTTTAAGTGAATGTTGGGCCCTTCTGGGGTAATGAGCCTAATGTGCTCAAGGGGATAATCCTAACCAGCCTTTTAAAATGGGCAGCACTCACAGGACCCCGGCAAGCTGATAAAGGTCAGAAAGGCCAGGTTTGTAGATTCGGACAGTATGCTCAAACTTGCTAGCAAAATCCACAGGATTCTCCAGTATTAGGAAAATCCTAGCCCATGGCTTACAGCTCAGACCTGGTCCAGGGGATACTTTCTGAAAAGGCTAGTTTTTCAATACTAGCTTTCAGGGCCTCTTTTAAGTTCTTCTGTTTCTGTGTAAAATCTTAACCTGACTTTCTCCTTTAATTTGGAGACCTCCTCCCGAAGGGCACAAACCCTATTCTCAGTCTCCTCTTTCATTGATTTCAATTATTAGATAGAAAGGGAGGAGGGTAGAGATTTAAATTCCTGGTTGTTTCAAGATGCCACTGGAAAAAGGGACCCCACTCAGGTCCCGTGATCTTGGAGTCAGAGGAATCAAGAGCAAACCCCAAAACCTCAGTTTTGCTGCGACCAAAGTTGGGAAGTATAGTTGGGAAGACTTGGATAATCCGCCAATTATCCAAGGACTTGGTCCACAACTTGAAAACATGTACCGGGAAGCCATCCCCTCATTCTCCATCAAAGAAGGAGGAACTCAACCAAGACCCAAAATCATCCAGATTTTTTTTTCTTTCTTTCTTCTTCTTTTAAACAAACCCCCGACCAAAACGCTAAGAACTCAACCGAAAATGTGAATTCGGTGATTCGAGGGAGCACCCACCAAGACTGTAAAGAAAGAGTCCGTGCTAGTCCCGGGGGTGTTCCTAGAGGCAGCCAGACGGCACACTGGACAGGGCTACTCGAGTTCAGCCCTGGGCACCTGCTGGCTGGGAGACCGTGGGGCAAGTCACATCACTTCCGTCAGCCTCGGTTTCCCCGTCAGTAAAATGGGGATAATAATCGTCCCCCCCTCCCGGCCCCCTTGCTGGGAGAATCGAATCCATAAAGGGCTTTATTTTTGTTTAAAGCAGTACGTAAACGCAACCGAGGGCAGGAAGAGTGAGGCAGCTCTCCCTCCGCGCATGGCCGGCCCGCACGGGCTCGGAACCTCCCCTGCCTCCCCCGTTCGTCCTCCGCGCACACTGGAGCTTCAAGCCTCCGGCCACAGACATGTAGGCAGTAGGGGTGGCGAGGGCAGCCTCCGGGGCGGCAACGGGGGGCTGTTCTCACCTCAGTAGGTCAGCCACACACCAGCCTGTCCACGGAATTTACTTTTCAAACTCGCCGCCCCGCCTCTTCCGCCCTCAACCACACTAACTTCCGGGAGTGAAGGAGTGTTTCCGGTTGTGAGCGGTAGTTCTTCCGGTGACGGGGGTCAGAGGGGAGGAACCTGCGTGAGGGGCCTACAGAGACCCAAAGGCGGGGGGCGGGCAAGTTAAAAAGCCGGGCTGATGAGACGGACGCTTTAACCTCGTCCTTTTGGGAAATCCTCCTCGCCAAACTGCGCCCGCCAACAAAGCGATTCCGGCTTATGAAGGGTGTCTGACATTGAGTTCTACTGTCTGTCTCTCCCCCTCACCCCCTAGCCTTACCTGAGGACTGACAGAAAAGGTGACTTGTGCAGGGCCCTGAAGCCAGTAGGCCTTAGAGGCACGACTTGAACCCAGACCTCTGTGATATTTTATCCATGTCATGTTGCTTCTTAGTGTAAACTGAGACACGCACCGTAAGGAATCTGGTTCTCTCTTTCCCCAAAGGGACGATGTCCGGGGGGCCGCAAAGGCCAGCCCGGTGAGAACGAAATACGTCTCTTCCGCAGAGGGGAAGAAGACCGTGGGGAGAAGGTGCCTGTGAAATCAAAGGTGATCTTTATTAGGCAGGAAGGTTACTCCTGCCCATGGAGGCGGCTCGATGTGGGTGGCATCTGTACTCTCCTGACAAAGGGGGGCAGGGCATTAGGCTGGTCAGAGGACGGCTTAGCAGGAGAGCCCCAGGCCTGGGGGAGGGGGAGGAATTCCAGGGATGACGACGGTGGCCTTTTGATAACTCGAACATTCTTGGTCATAAGCATGAAAGAATCCAGATGGTTCAAGAATCAAACACCACCAACAAAAATAGAAGGCTGTCTCCAGCGTCCCATAAATAACAATATAAGCCAAGCAGGACGTTTTCTGAGGATCCATACACTAGCAGATAGCTCAGGGACCTCCCCCCAAAGGCTGGTAGGAGCTAAATTAGCTTCAGGGTTGCACATCCAGCTAGATTTACTCTCAGTCACCACAAAGGATCGTTGGCATGTCAAGCCATTTTATGTCCTGATTGGTCAGAACGGTCCCATGCAGCTCCCCTCAGTTACCTAGATAACTGAGGGGGCTCCAGCAAATCAGGGTAGTTAGCATATCCATTTTAACATTAGTTATCTCTCAGGGCCCTTCTTACCCTAGATCTATGAACCCTGCCTGACCAGTGATAACCCTTCAAATGCTCGAAAACGGTGTCTTTGATGTGCCTCCTAAAACATCATTTCTCCAGGCTTATTCTTAACAGATGCTTGCACGACAGACTCAAGCCGGTCCTCAGTTAAGAGAGATGCAGTTTCCTCTGTACTTATTCTAAGTCTTTCCAACTTGATAGGCCTTGCTAGATATTATTGCACTCCAAAGCTTTTGAGAACACAAGGTCATTGCCACATCATTATGAGGCAACAGAGTATGACATTAGTGGCAAAAAGATAAAAATAAATTATATAGTTGAAAAAGATTAAATTTAGAAAGAAAAGAGATACCAATGAAGGAAAATGAAAGTAAAAATTAATAAAGGAAGATAAAGTATCATTGTTATAATAAATGGAGACCTGTGGGAAAGACCTTGACATATTCTAGCCTATTAATTTGTTTGATGTAAATGCCTCATGACCACACTATTGTGTTGAATGCTAATGAAATTCCCAGTAGTCTACATAAGTGATCCAACTATAGATACTCATTTATTAAACTTAGGCAGTGGAACAGCTGCTGTATTTTTCAACCTTCTGATATCTTGAAATCTCTGGGATATCTGATGGATATTCTTGAACGAGACAAAGAGATCTATGATAGTAATTTTCTCACAGCCTCACCCCATTCTATTGGAATATGTTTTATATTATACAGAGATAATTCTGTTTACATTTTTTTATACCATGGAGTATGAGATCTTTAATATTGTACCTCATTTACCTTCCTTCTGAGTGTACTATAAAATGATTACATATAATAAGGTGAGGCAGTTAAATGTAATAGTGAATTAAGGGCTGGGTTAGGAGTCAGGAGAACCTGAATTCGAATCTTATCTCAGGGACTTAAGTAGCTGTGTGACTCTGGAAAAACTACTATTCATTCTCTCTCTCTCTCTCTCTCTCTCTCTCTCTCTCTCTCTCTCTCTCTCTCTCTCTCTCTCATAACATGAGGCATTTGGGGTTAAGTGACTTGCCTAGAGTCACACAGCTAGTGAGTGTTATGTGTCTGAGGCTGGATTTGAACCTGAGGTCCTCCTGACTCCAGGGCTAGTACCTTATCCACTGTGCTACCTAGCTGCCCCTACTTTCTTTTCCTCATCTGTAAAATAGGGCTAGTAGAAGCACCTACAGGGTTACTGTGAAGATCAGATGATATTATATATGTAGAGTACTGTGCAAACTTTAAAATGTTTTGTAAGTATTAGCTATTATCATTATAAGATGGTGATAGATAGCATTGCTATTCTTTAATCTCCTATGCCATTGAATATTTGAGAAAGGCTTAGTAAATGAGGCAGTACTACAAGAAGAAGGAGGTACGTGGTTCAGTGGATAGAATAGTGGACTGGGATGCAGGAAGACTTTGAGTTCAAATCCAGCCTCAGACACTTTCTAGCTGTGTGACCTTGGGCAAGTCACTTAATCTCTATTTGCCTTAATTCACTGAGAAAGGAAATGACAAACCACTCCAGAATCTTTGCCAAGAAAACTGAAAGAAATAATTACTAATAACCAGTGATTTAGAGAGATCCAGAGTTCTCCCTTTTTTCTGAAGTCCTGATTTCCAAAGTTCAGTCTTTTGAAAGACATGACTGATGAGATGGACTAAGATCCCATGCATGTGGAGAAGCCATTGTGCTCTACCCAGGTTTGGGTGGGGATAAAGTCTGTGAATAGATTGCCCAAGGCTAGGGACAACTTAGAAGTAAATGGCATGGTCAAAGTTTATTTGACTAGGTTCATCCCCCTTATTGTAGTATTCATTCTCATTAATTATTAACCAATAAGAATTGATTCCTACCCAACACGTCTCTTCCAATGGGCATATAAACTCTGAGCCTGCCACCATGATTGTCTTTGGTCTAAGAGAGAGACAGCCAAATGACTATCCTTTTATTAAAATGATGGCATTAATAAAATGATTAAATTACCCAGAAATTATTCTCTCAAGCTTTTTAAACTCCACAAAACCCCATGGACAGAGCTCCATGGGATCACCAAGGGTTGGGTAGGACTGAATGAACAATAGGTGATAGAAATGAATTTATTTAGTGTTTGGAGTAAAACTCATTATGATCCTCATCAAATGATTGCCAGTGAAGGCTTTTCCTTGTTTTTTCAGAAGCACAAGGGTGATTGTGGTTCACTCTTGTCTTAGCTTCCACCATGACCATCCTGGACACATAGGGTCATTTTAGACAAACCTCCAAGTTGGGTAATAATTCTTTGTCCCTACTAACCTCTTTTTCCCCCATGACTGTCTCAATTTTGTCTCCGCTTTTTGTGCTATAATCTAAACCATGCTTATTGTTTTGCTGTGTTCTGTGCATTTGCAATAGGTGAGTGACTATGGCAAAATTTAAATCACTCTTATATTGTCTTCTCTTCAGATTCTGCTGATAAACTTTTCTATATTATAGCACTCCCTCTTTTTTCTTTTTCTTTTGCTGTGGAGATCAATGCACAAACTTCATTCAGATTCTTTATTGAGTAGAAGAATATAAATTATAGAGCTATCCATTCTTCAATAAGCACCTACCCTATTAGATGAACCAGGGCAGAAATGTGTGTGTATGTATATGTAGGTAGATATCATAGATTGGATAGATACAATAGCGCAAAGTTTGTTATGGATACTTCATAATAGTTGCTGCTATGTGTTGATCACTCCTTAGATTCCAGATGACAACTAATGCCATTAAGATATGCTGTTAATTAACAATTGCTTTCTAATATATGTTCTGTTTTTTTTTCCTTTATCACATTGTCAAGAGGGTCCCAAATTGTAAACCTTGTATTTTCCCAGATTTAATCCAGCAGAGATTGTGATTCATATCTGAAATTCTGAAATCCAATCCTGACAGGAGCTGATGGCAAAAAACTTTCTGAAAATTATTTTTTTTTAAAAATCCAGAGGTACTAAATATTTCACTGTGTGTTCATGCAATGTGGTGATGTTTTAGGAACTAAGTGACCATAATGTAAACTAGTATAAGTTCAGCCAAAGAAAATGCCCTCCTCTTGTTTAGTACATAGTAGCCACTTTAATACAAGTAGTTTGTCTATATTTTCCACTGCATGGTTTATTTTAAAATGACATTGAAATTATAAGTGGGGCTACTTTCCCCTATTCCTATTGGTGATTAGATTCAGTTGTGTGCCTTAAAAAATAGCCCCTGAAAAGGAGCCTTCTTAAAGTATGTGAAATCTGGGGCAGGTAGGTGTCGTAGTGGATAGAGCCCCATCCAGGAGTCAGGAGGACCTGAGTTCAAATCTGGCCTCAGACACATAATACTTCCTAGATGTGTGACTCTGGGCAAGTCACTTAACCCCAGTTGCCTCACTAAAAAAAAAAAGTATGTGAAATCTACTGTTGTTATTGTTTGAGGGGGTTCATTTAATATATTATAATGAATCTGAAGGAGTTTATTTCCTGTAGTTTTAATCCTTAGAAGAAAGGCTTAGAAAAAGTTTCCTTTGGAAACTTACAACTTTATTTTTCTTGTGTTATACTTTAAGGGAAAATGACTTGATATGACCTTTTTTTTCTTTGCATATTTAGTTATCACAAAAGTGAACAACTAATATAATACAGAAATTCCCAAAATAACTTTCTGAGATACTATGTTTGTCTGCGGATTATAATAATATAAAAAATCCCTTTAATTGTAGAGGGGCTTCCTCCATCAGGTAGAAGGCATCTTAGGGATCATCTATTTTCTCTCAACTCTAATATTATTTGATTAACCTTTTTTTTAATAGTGGGGCAGATACTCACTTGTAAATCATGACACCAAATAATACCACTTGTGTCAATGGCCATGAGCTATTTCTTATGTTCTTTGTTTTTTGGAATATGCTTGACCTACTGATGGGAGGTGTTTTATAAATCTGTATGACTCCTAGTTAGACTAACCATATTCTCTGTTTCTCTTAGTGGAGAAAATTGTAGGTATATGAAAATGATGTTTTTAAAGGAGTTTCCCAGTTGATCATCACTACAGTACTGCTGTTACTGTGAACAGTGATCTCCCAGTTCATCTCACTTCACTTTGTATCAGTTAATACAGGTGTTGCCATGTTTTTTCTGAAACCACCCCCCTCATCATTTCCTATAACACAATCATACTCTATCACAATCACATGCCAAAACTTTTTCAGCCATTCTCAATTGATGAGCATCCTCTCAATTTCCAATTCTTTGACACCACAGAAAGAACTGCTACAAATATTTATGTACAAATAGGTCCTTTTCCTTTTTCTTTGATCTCTTTGGTGTACATACTTAGTAATGGTTTTGCTAAATCAAAGGGTATGCCAGCCCTTTGGGTATAGTTCCAGATTGTTTTCCAGAATGGTTGGATT